AGAAGCTTTGAACTCCAGACAGTCAACAGATGATGGAGATGCAAACATGTCATTTGCACAACCATCTTCACATCATGAGGCTGATGACAACAATATACCTGCAAGAGATAACGAGTCATAATATGAAGATTCTGAAGGGAATGTCAACACTGATTCATCTAGTGGTGATGGTCTTGGTGATGATGATGATGAAGCAAGGCCTAAAAAGAAAAAAATAGTTTATGATGGAAAAGGAGATCTGCAGACCTTCCAATTTTAGCTTGGGATGAGATTTGAAACCATTGGGCAATGTAGGAAGGCAGTTCAGAATTATGCAATTTATAATGGCTGCAACATAAGTTTTGTCAGAAGTAGTTCAAGTCAGATTGAAGCTAGGTGTGAAGTTGGTTTTCCATGGAGGCTTTATGCTAGTCTGATAAAAGGTGAAGGTAGTATGGCTGTGAAGACCTTTGTTAGTAGCCACAGCTGCCATAGGGACTTGAACACTAAACAAGCAACTGCTTCTTGGGTTGCTGGGGAATATCTACCTATGATTAGAAAGAAGCCTAAGATGAAAATTTCTGACTTAGAGGATTCTATCAGTGAAAAATATGGTGTGCAACCCTCTAGGTGGAAACTGTACAAAGCAAAAACTAAGGCTCTTAAACTGCTTAGAGGTATAGAGGAGGAGCACTATGGAAAACTTAGGAGGTACATTGCAGAGCTTCAAAGGGTTGATAGAAATGGCACATTTCAGCTGAAATTGGAGAGTGGCAGTGTATTCAAATGTTTTTATGTAGGTTTTAGTGCACTAAGACAAGGTTTCTTGCAAGCCTGTAGGCCAATTATTGGCCTTGATGGGGCTTTCTTGAAGACCTTTTTAGGAGGTGTATTATTGTGTGCTGTTGGGAAGGATGGGAACAACCAGATATTTCCTTTGGCATGGGCAGTTGTGGATTCTGAGAATGAGAGCAATTGGAAATGGTTTCTAGACATACTTTTTCAAGATTTGGGGATATCAGATGGACTTGGATGGACATTTATCAGTGATCAGCAAAAGGTTAGTTCTTTCAATATGTGCACTAATATTTGGTTGTTTGGCTTATCTTTAATATACGTTCTGACTTATCTCATTATGTAGGGACTCATTGCTGCTATAAGGGACCTCTCACCACATGCAGAACATAGAAATTGTGCACGAAATGTGTACATGAATTGGAAGAAATCACACAAAGGCAGTGCACTGAAGAGCAGTTTCTGGAGGGTAGTGCATAGCACACACAAGGCAGAATATAAGGAAGCACTTGAAGGGATGAAGACAGTGGCTAAGGAGGCTTATGATGATTTCATGGGCATGGAAAATTTCAGGTTCTGTAAAGCCTTTATCCTTGAGAATCCAAAATGTGATATGATACTTAATAATGTATGTGAAACTTTCAACAGTACCATAATGAAGGCAAGAAAAAAAACCAATTGTTGAAATGCTTGAGAGTATTAGAACTTATGTAATGGAAAGGCAGCATCACAAACTAATGTTGACTAGTGGACTGAATGACACAATATGTCATAGAATAAGGAAAAAAATTGAGGAAAATAAGTTGAGAAGTAGGTTGTGTGTGACAAAACCTGCAGTGGGTGAAAAATTTCAAGTTGCTATATCAGATGATCAGTTTGTGGTTGATTTGAAGTGCATGACATGTAGTTGTAGAAGCTGGGATATATCTGGTATACCATGTATCCATGCTTGTTCTGCAATTCAGTACATAAAGAGGGATGTAGTGGACTTTGTCATCCCATACTTCAGTGTAGAAAGAAATTTGAAAGCATACTCTTTTAGCCTTGAACCATTAAATGGGCCTAAAATGTGGCCTGAAGAATCTGGGTCCACTGTGAAGCCACCTCCATTTAAAAAGATGCCTGGTAGACCTAAAATAAAAAAGAGAAAAGCTCCTGAAGAAGAGACCAAGAGTGACACTAAGCTGAGGAGATTTGGACTACAAATGACTTGCCAAAAATGCAAGAAAATTGGGCATAACATCAGGATTTGCCCCAATAAAGCTGCTCCTGCACAGACAAGAGTAAGTTTAATTTTATTGCTTATTTATAAACTTTTATAATGCATTCTGTTCATATCCTTGTTGATAAATTGTAGAAAAAGAGAGGGAGACCAAGTACAAGGGAGCAACATGTGGAGTATTCTGCAAAAGATTTGACTGTCACACCAACACCAGCAGTCCCAACACCAACAATCCCAACACCAACAAACTCAACATCAACCAACCCACCACCAGTCCCAACACCAGCCCCAATAGAAGCCCTAAGAGCACCAACAAAAGCACCACAAACACAAGCCCCAACAGCACCACCAACACAAGCCCCATCCACAAAAGCAACCACAAGCACAAGAGCAACCAAGGTCACAAGAGCAGCTTCAGCCACAAGAACAGCCCCAACTACTAGATCAGCCACAGCTGCTATGCAACAAACAAGAAAGAGTTCTAGAATCAGGAGTGTTGGACAATCTTCTCAACCTGTGCAAGCTATTAGGGCAAAAGACAGAGCAATGGTAAAAGCTATTATTTTCTTACATAAAGCATAATATCAGTTTATTAACTTATTTGTGTCTTTGCTTGTTTAGGTCAATAAAGGATTTGGTGTGATGGTCTCTGAGCAGATAGGAGACATTTATATGAGGGTATGCTTCATTGTTACCATATACTTTTCCTGTACCAATTGCAGTGCATATTTCAGATATTAACTTAATTTGTTTTGTCCCACAAATTCTTCATCAGATGCCAGGGCTAGAGCTCACTTTGTACCTAACAGAAGAGCAGGATCATCACCTGGACAAAAGAAACAAACATCCAAGAATTGCCCAAGAGATCAGGGGACACAAGAGAGTGTGTGTAATTTTAACCCTTGTTAGTTGTCATGGGGATGTATGTTGTGAACTACTGTTGTTTGGGTTTTGGGGGATGCATGTTGTGAACTACTGTGTTTTTTCATGTTTTCTGGTTTGATGTGGGATTGGAGCTGCAGTTGTTAGCAATGTATTATCTAGATTTGGATTTGGATTTGATGTTTTGGTTGTGGAATTTGGATTGGATATGACTTTTGATTTTATAAGGATGGCAACAAGACTTTTGTTTTTAACATGGCTTCAGTTGGTGTTTGTTGAGGTTGTTTGGTATTTAAGATGCTTGTGCATATTGTTATGTGCTGATGATTGAATGTACCACATTTGTTTGGCTTATAGGATTATGACACCAACATACACTAAAATGAACTTACACAAAAACATAAACTGATTCAATATAAAATTTTATTAACAACCGAAATGAAGTTACAAAAAGGCAGCATACACTTAAATTCAGATAACAACATACATTGCAATTTCATTAACAAAAGGTTGTCCTACACCAAGTTCATCATAATTGGTTCTATTGGACAAGTCTTGTACAGAAGTTGTCAACCATTTTCCTCTTTACCAAAGAACAAAAGCAAAACAACAAATAACACAACTGACACACACAATAGGATATCTGAATCTGTTTCTCTTGGACAAGACTTGTACTTGCTCCTCCAACTCATTTACTTTGGATTTAAGATACAATAGTTCATCTTCTTTCATTTTCAGCCTCTCAACCAATGCTACTTCAGTAACATCTCTGCATTTTAATTGCTCCTCCAATAATGCCTTCTCAGCCTTCAGTTTCAGAAAACATGATTTCTGAAATGGTCCAAGCTCCGGATCAACCCAAGAAAAGTATGTACATGCATTCTTATACAAATAAGCAAGGATTAGAATTAGAACAAAACACAATAACTGAAAAACCATAAAACTAAGGCAAAAATTTTCAATCTTCATCTCATATGATAAACTGAAATTTCAAATTCCACTCGTTTTTTCTGTGTTCATTTCATCAAATTGAACTCGTCATTTAAAATTGAACTCAGCATTTCATATCAGAACGGCCACGCATGAAATTACAAAAACAAAGCCAAATTGCACTCACAGCGGCACGATTGTAGTCATATCGGCACGAAACTAAATA